TGATCACCAACCCATCTGATCACCTTCAACCCTCCATCACCCCAGGAGCTGCTTCTAAACAGTAACCAAACACCCCACGCAATCTCGTAGAGGAGCCAATAGGTCCGATGCCTTCACACGCCGATGCCGCTCGCTTGCAAACGCCGCCAAACAGTGCTGTAACCACCGCCCAACAGCTGACAAGCAGCTCTGGCATTCCATAGCAGCTGCATCTCGGAACTCAAATGCTGGCAGTCCGTGACGATGCTCCCTACAGCCTGGATAAAAGAGGAGGCAGGCGGTGCTATAAGACAGGTGTTGTGTTCCCCAGCACCTGTCATAACGTCGCTTTTCCCAGTGTTGGGAGGAGACAGGCTTCACTTTCCCCAGCTCCTGTCAAGGTGTCGGGCTCCAGGGATGACTGCTCACCTCGAGCCCAACACAATGTTCAAGATGTGTCTCTGATCTCAACATGCAATTAATTTAACAACAAATTCTTTTTCAAGTGTTATTTGATACCCCAGAGAATGTTTAGTAAGCCTTGAATGTTGGACATTCGTGGCAGAATGTTTAACGTTTAACAGAAAATTTAATGTTTAACGTTAAACAGAAAGTTTAATGTGGTCAAACAATTGGCAACTCCAAATCTCGACCAACGAATGCTCTGTCCTACACATTGGTTTAAAAAAAAATCAGTACACCAAATACAACCTAAGAGGATATGACCTTGTTGACGACCCTCACTCTGTCAAGGACCTCGGAGTACTCATATCTAACGACCTAAGCACCACAGCTCACTCTAACAGCATTGCCAAAAAGGCATTAAGACTTGTAAATCTAATCTTACAAAACTTCTCTAGAAATATAGAATTGCTAACTAGGGCATACAAAACTTTTGCTAGACCAATACTCGAATACAGCTCATCTGTCTGGAATCCGCACTGTATATTGGACATTAATACAATTGAGCGAGTCCAGAAGTATTTCACAAGAAGAGTACTACACTCCTCTGCTCACAACAGAATACCCTCTATCACCAGGCTTGAAATTTTAGGCTTGGACAACCTTGAACTACTCCGCCTATGGTTGGACTTAAGCAAAGTACACAAAATGATCTTCTACAATGTCCTACCAGTCAATGACTACTTCAGCTTCAATCGCAACAATACAAGAGCACACAACAGATACAAACTCAATGTTAACCACTCCAAACTTGATTGCAGAAAGTACAACTTCAGCAACACAGTGGTGAATGCCTGGAATGCACTACCTGACTCTGTTGTTACATCCTCTAACCCCACTCCTTTAACCTTAAACTATCCACTATTGACCTCACCATTCCTAAGAGGTCTATAATGGGCGTGCATAAGTGCACAATCATGCATACCATCCCTGTCCTATTGTCCCCATTTATTTGTACCTATTTCCTGTATTCTTACTCATGTTTTTACTTATACCTATTATCTTGTAAGTGATTGACAAATCAAATAAATAAATAATAAATCAAATAAGAATGGATATTCAAATATAGCCTTCAGCTTCTTCTATCATTCTTTGCTGAGTTTAAATTTTGCATCAATGAGATGTATTTATAGTCCAGCTATAAACTGGTTTGGAATGAACAAAAGAAAGTCTAACCACTACTATCCTAATATATGCATACATCTATCTACATGTCAAATGCTATGTTAAACATTTATAGATATGCCAGTTGCAGTTTTCTGTATCAAGAAATCATGAATGGGGCCATGGAGCCCTGCCTCTTAATATTGTGAAAATTGAAATACCCATTGAGCTTATGTATTATGTGCCATTGCTTGCAATGAAATAAACATCTTTTATCAGAAAGAAATACCCTTTACACTGTGGTTTGTTGCCAGCCAATATTTGGCCAGGTTTTTATTTGTTTAACATATAAGCTGGGTGTCAACAACTTCTGTGTTCATGGGAGGGGAGCTCTTTCAAACTATTCATTTCATTTCATTATTTTTTCCAAGATATATTCACCAGCAACTGATTTCTTGTAGATTGAGTTCCTAAGTGGTGAGGTGAAGATCAGCCCTAATCTCGTATTGAAACTATGCAAAGATAGTGTTTAAACTTTAAAGTGAAATGCAGGCAAAGAAGCTACTTTGTGGTAGCTCAGTTTAAAATAAAGTTGCTATCTTTTCGGTATTTTTTTTTTATCAAAACTTTTTGAAATGTGCAAATGTTATACCATGCTGGGAGCAAAAGTATATATATAAAAATAAATAAAGTGATAATTCTGAAATAGGAAAAATGTGATAAATCATATTCTTTATTCTTTGATTCAACTACCTCAAACTCCAAATCTAGTTGATGTTAATATGTTATATCTTCAACTATATCTATTTAATCCAATTTTCTACATTTTAATGAATCTCCAAACCTGAATCTGTCATTGTATATGTAATATAAATGAAAAGGGAGGACAGTCATTGAAAACCAATATCAATTATTCCATATTCAATATAACTGTATCAAATCTGTATATTTGTTGGCATGCAAATATTGTTTTCCAGTACTTTGATCAAATGAAACTTCCCATAGTTTATATATTTTTATATATTGATTTTAATTTCTTTCAAAAAAAAAGAATATTTTAAATGAATCTTAGTTCTGAATTATGTAGTCAGTGAATCATAGACCAATAGGGTAATTTTTAGCAAATTAGTTTTTATAGTAGCAATATTTATGTCTAGTTGATAGATAGTTAGGTAATAAGTTTTATGTCCCACCTTTCCTTCAGAAATTCAAAGGTAGCATAAATAGAAGTGTCTTTGTAAATTTTTCTCTTGCAAACACAAACTCGGGAGATACGTTGCCTAATAGATAGTGAATGGGCCATATCATATTGTAAAGTTAAAATTATAACTCGTCTTTACTCCAATAACATTCTGAAATTTTTCAAAATAAAAGATCTTAAAATAAAGGCTCATTTTATTCTAAAACATTTGTCTATGGGTTAAATAAATATGAATATTGCCAGGGATGAGAAGTAAAAACTATGCATGTTTTAAATATAGCATTTAGATTTAGCATTTATTTCGGTGAGCTGAAAATTGCAAGATATCGCTATTCCAGCTTTTGGAGTTAAATGCATTCACTAAAATATTCTATCAAAAATTTTCTTGTTTTGGCATGTGCAAATTGAGACTAAGTGAGAAAAGATGTACTAATATACATACCAGAGGTGGTATTCAGCAGGTTCTGACCAGTTCTGGAGAACCAGTAGCAGAAATTTTGAGTAGTTCGGAGAACTGGCAAATACCACCTCTGACTGGAGATTTTACACTATCCTTCTCCTGCCACGCCCACCAAGCCACGCCCACAGGACCGGTAGTAAAACATTTGAATCCACTGGTACATAATGTATGCATAATGCTGTCCACATTAGGGAAAGCATAATTACATGTTAAGATTACTACCATGAAGTAGTTGCACTTTAGTTTCATATCCTGGGTTTTCTTCTACTAGTTCAAAGTGGCATATACAACATTCCTTCCTACAATTTTTATCAGAACAAATCTGTGAAGTAGGTTGAGTCTTCCCAATTCTCTCCATCACCCAAATCACTATATGAAACTAGTTCTCATTTACAATCTAGTGCAATCATCCTTTCTTAGAAATTATTGGAAATAAGACAGGCCAGACATTGCTGTCTTTCATTTATCCCCTTATTTTTCCACCCTTATGCTTTGCTAGAACTTCTTGTAGCTTTTTCTTTATTTCAAGGGATCTATGCAGGACAGAAAAATGAAACAACTTTGCAATATCCTCAGTGAATCTTCTTGAAAACTATACCTAGCATCAGGGGTGGGATTCAAATTTTTAACAACCGGTTCTGTAGGCGTGGCTTAGTTGGTGGGATGGCTTGGTGGTCATGTTATTGGCTGGGCATGGCCAACTCAATATCATTCACATCGAGGCATGCATCTCCTTGCCTGGCCTCTCATGACTGTGGGGATGCTGCAACAGTCGTAAGTGTGAAAAATGGTCATAAGTCACTTTTTTCAGTGCCATTGTAACTTTGAATGGTCACTCCACACAAGTAAAGTACCAGCAAAGGAGGGGAAAAAGACTCCAGAGAAGTTCCTGAGACAGGAAGTCTAGTCCTGCCAAGAATGTAATAAGGGTTAACGGAGAGGCAGTTTCTGTAAGCAACACCAGAATGTTTCCTTCCTGCCTTCCTTACAAGATTAGGCCAGTAATTTCTTCTAACAACCAGTTCTCCAAACTGCTTAGAATGTTAACAACCGGTTCTAGCAAATAGGTGCGAATTGGTAGAATCCCACCCTTGCCTAGCATTCAATGATGGAATGCAAATTCTTTTACTACCGGTTCTGTGGGCATGGCTTGGTGGACGTGGCAGGGGAAGGATACTGTAAAATCTCCACTCAGAGGTGGTATTTGCCAGTTGTCCAAACTACTCAACATTTCTGCTACCGGTTCTCCAGAACCGGTCAGAACCTGCTGAATACCACCTCTGCTAGCATTTGAACTACCTGTATCTGATTGTAACATTGTAATGCTTACAAAAGCTAAACTGTGTAACTCTGTTATAGATAATATGGTCTTATAATCGTGAGTATGTATGGCATCATCGCTCAACCTAAACCATAATCTCATCTGTTGTGAGATTTCGTCGTGGCAACTGAACAACTATCTAAATACCTTATCACTTAGTAGCAAACATGTTGATATTAAAATAGTGAATTACTTTATGGAAAAGATTCTAACAATACTATACATATAATCTGCAATATGGTTCTCCTAGTCTGATACCTTCCAGATATGTTGAAGTTGTAATTCTCAGAATTCCTAGCTAGTTGCTGACTGGGAATTATGCAAGATAAAATCCAACCCATATGGAGGATAAAAACCTCCATATACATATGTGATATTGTAAAAATAGCAAGTATCAGCATCTGTGACAGATTAACAAGGATTATCATATCATGATAATATCCATCACTTGAAGTATCTTGTTTCTTCCATAGATCTCCTGTTATGGCTGGAGGCCTCTTTGCTGTTAACAGAAAGTGGTTTTGGGATCTTGGTGGCTATGATCCTGGATTAGAAATCTGGGGAGGAGAACAGTATGAAATATCATTCAAGGTAAGCACACTTATGGTACACTCTATGTACTTATGGTACATGCATTTTTATGATCAGAGGTGGTATTCAGCAGGTTCTGACCAGTTCTGGAGAACCGGTAGTAGACATTTTGATTAGTTTGGAGAACCGGCAAATCCCACCTCTGACTAGCCCCGCCTCCATCTATTCTCTGCCTCCCAAGTCCCAGCTGCTCAGCTGGGTCTTCTTTTGTTGCCCCGCACAGGAGAATGGAGCTGGAAAGCGGGTTAGTGGGGTGGGGAGGGAATGGGATTGTGCAGTAACCTTCCTCCAGGAGTGGGGGTGGGAATGGAGATTTTACAATATCCTTCCCCTGCCACGCCCACCAAGTCATGCCCACCAAGCCACACCATGCCCACCAAGCCACGCCCACAGAACCGGAAGTAATTTTTTTAACCCCACCACTGTCTATGATGATGGTATGTATGCTGAAGAGCACATTAAAAATGCAGCACAACAAATTTTGCCACACAATCTGTCTACTCCTTTTAAAAAAAAAGATCACTGGAAGATATGGATTTAAATGGAATATTACGAAGAACCTATTTATCCCTTTTCCTTCTCAACATTTTTTTTTGGCTTTGTGTTCTCCCTATAATGATCTAGTGCAGGGGTGTCCAACCTTGGCAACTTTAAGACTTGTGGACTTCAACTCCCAGAATTCCTCAGCCAGC